CAAATCAGAATTTTCTGTTTATAATACAATATAATTATTATAATTATTATAATTAATAATATAATTATTATAATCTAATAATATAATTTTAGTCGAGATAACCAAAATTTAGACTGATAAATCAGAATCTTCTGTTCGATCATTCACTTTGTCAATCTTTTTCTAATTCTTGGAAATTAGAAAAATATATGAAGTTAGTTGAATCTGGGTTAAACTTAAACTATATTTGTAGAAACGTTGGGCATCAGTAAAAAAAAATTGATAATTCCTCAAATTTTTTGAAAAGATACGGCTTTGAGAAGCGTCTTATTAAAGGCCTCTTGCAGAGGATCGACGGAGGATTAGTCATTATAAAATTTTTTCTCTAGAATATAGAGATATAAAAACTGAAAAGTAAAAATTGTTTGCATATATGTGTGTATGTACATACATACATAAAAATTTTCACGTTCCGTATTAGAGGAAAAAAGTACATGATGACTGCTGAGATTTAACGCGCGCTGTGAGATTTAACATTCCTAGTCGCGTTAACGTGCCTCGTATATCTGCTGATAGGGAAAAAAAATCGATTTGTCAAATTCGCGCGAACACAGCAGCGGATGGAGATCGAGCCTCGAGGTGCGCGCGACATGCCGTCGATTGCCGCCTATTCGGCGATTCGGGATTCGGTGGATTCGGCCTGTTCGGCGGCGATAGGTAAGGTGAGGCTGTGAAGCAGCGACAGGTGCAAAAGATATATGGGATAGAGAAAGAGCATATCGCGCGCGGCGCCTCTCGTTACTTCGTACCTGGCATGGCGGCGCCGTCTTCCAGAAACGCGAGCCAAATCTTGGAGGTCTGCCAGAGCAGCAGGCCAAGGACCAGAAGGAACACGAGGCGCCATCGAAAGCCTAACCCCATCGTCCCGGCTGTTGTCGCGATAAGAAACGCGCACGACTCTTCGCGCGGCGACGACGGCAGCAGCGGCGGCGGTGACGCCGCGACGGCGATCTCGTTAGCGCGGGCTGACGCAATGTTTTCTAGTATCAAACGCGCCGGCGGCGATGGCCAGCGACGGCCGACATAGCGATTCGACACGTTGGGACGCGCGCGAAATGACAGCGGAATGTTCTGTCGAAGTTCTGTTCTCGATTGATCTGAATTGACCTGGTCAGCCGAGTCCTCGTCCTCGAACACTCTTGCGGCAATTTGACCAACGCCACGCGTGCCAACGGGATTTAACGACCGCCACTGTGTCAAATTGAATGTTCTTTCTTTCTTTTTTTCGTTATTTTTTTCACCTTTTCTCGCATCATCGCACGCAGCGTCCGCAGTGAGGCGAGCACTCGTGCACGTCAATTACATTAAAGCCTCTATTAGAAAATGGAGTTTGGAATAATCGGAGATTTTGGAGTAATTGGAGTGTGCACTGCGCACTGCGCATTGAGAATTGCCGAGTCGGAGTCATCAAAGAGTAGATCTTCACCAATCAGATAACTTTGAGCTTGGTCTATGTTGTATCGATTGAGCGGATTTTAATTTCTGATTCTCGCGATTTTCTTGATCTTCGAAAATATTCTTCTTACTCAGGTTTACGTTTTGTTCTTTCCCAATTTTTGTATTTATTTTTTCTAGACATTTCTATTTATTTTGTTGACTGAGTATTGTTCTAATAGCAAATTCGATCACTTGCACATTTACTCATTCCGAGGTCACAAAACTTTTGATCATTAATTAAAATTTTACATTTATAAAATTATACTAATAAGAATTGTCAATAAAAATTATGTTGTACAAATTTTATGTTATTAAATACCAACATTTAATATATAAAAAAATTATATTCTCTCCTTCTGTCCACGAATCTTTTTTAAAAAAGATATACATGTTTTTTCTTATAATTCAGATATGGTAATTTTATTTGCATTAGATAGAAATGACTTATCAATTATCGCTCAATTGATGAATTTTCCATTGAAAATCCTATTCTGAATAGTATAGCACATTTATATATTCAGTAGCTAATAAATGTGTTCACGTATATTTATTTATAATGGCAGCACGATGTTTTAAGAGGGGAACCCCACAGATTTATTTAATTTTTTTGTAGTAATTTTGTTTGTAATTTCATTAATAATTTGATTAATAAAATCAATATACATCAAGTTTCTGAGATTAATAAAGATTTTAGTAACAATAGTGATGTAGTGGCAATTGTATATCACACTTTCTTCAATTTTAAAATGCAGATTGTTATAAGGAAAATAAAATAAACGCAATATAGGTAATACATAAGTAAAGTAAATACAATACAGGAAATAAGTAAATAAGTTTTTTAGTGAGATAACAAATTGTACATAAATGCACTTACAATTTACTTCTAAACAAATTATGTATTATAAATAAACTCGTTATCATTTGTAAGAATATTATAAATAGACAATGACTCTAATTTTATAATACTATAAAATTTTTTTATTCTGTTATGTATAAAAAATTTTATATAT